TATATATATATATATACACACACACACACACACACACACACACACACACATATATACATATATATATATTTGCAATCATTAAAAATGTTTCGGAATATCTTTGCAACTGTTTGCAACAATTAATGAACCTTGGAAAAAAAAAATTACATGCGCACACATTTGCAAACCTTTGCCAATCAGTGAGACACGGGGTGAAGCCAACTGCTGGTGAACAGAGTTAAAGAAGTCAATAGAGTAAGTCCATCAATTGCATTCAGTATGAACTTTAACATTGATTGCACATAATTAAGACGGGGTGAACTGAATTCATCTTCCTCTCTTTGAAGATTTTTTTTTTTCATTATGTGCAATGTACAAGGACTGATAGGTTGGAAAGAACGACTGGTGCTGTATAGTGAAACAATTAGGAACTATAATTAAATATTTACAAAAATTTGAGTGATGTACTCATGTCATGTGTTATACAGTGCCCTTGAATGTGTATGGTCAGGTTCGGTGGTATGCAATTTGGAAGCATCCGAGCCGAGTTTCCCTTTCAGTAGAATAAAGTACATCAACAGGCCATCTCATTGGATGATGGATAACCCTTAGCATCATCCTCATTAAGAACATGCTATTGTAGAATTAGACTACCTTCCAAATAAACATACAACATGAAGGACGGACACATTACAATGAAGTTTTCTCAACAAAAGGCAAAAATGCAAACTAAAGAACAAGTTTGTTCCAACCATTTATTTAAGATATTTTTCAACTGAAATGGTCTTCAAGAAATATGTGTACAGAACATAAAAATGTATACTGAGGTGATTCAGCCTCAACTCTAACTTCTGGTGATTGGAATGGCCCATCAGCGCTTTTAGAGTTCCTGTTCTGGAACATCCGCACTCCCTCCGTTGAATGGAGGGAGGGTAACTTCGATGGAGAAGCGATGGGAGAGGTGTAAAAGGACGCTGAAGGTATGAGTGTTTCCAGATTTACATGGCAAACAGGATAAGGAATGCCACCATCAGACAGAAGAGACCCATAGCCTCAGATAGAGCAAAGCCCAAGATGGCGTAGGAGAAAAGTTGCTGCTTTAGGGAGGGGTTCCTGCAGAGAAGAGGGGAGATTTCAGTGCCAGGTATCAAGCAAATTACATTTATGCTAATATTCATATACTGTACCATATAATAGAACTGGAAGATTAATTACAATTTTAATCGGGATTTTGATTTTGGCTTCTTTCAATCTCGAAAATGTTCTCATTGAAGAAAAACGATTCAAGTGCAGAACGGCATGATGCGCTGAGAAGCTCCAGACGCTGTGAAAGTACCCTTAATGCACAATGTTGCTTGCGAGCGTATAGCGTATGTGATTCTGCAGTTCCTGAGCGTGTTTTAAGCCGCTTAACGACACCAAGTTGGAGTTGAATATAACACTGAACGCACAACAAAAAGAATTACACACATTGTATATTTAAATACAATAAATAGTTCATTTTAAAAACATGACCACTATTGCTAAAGTCAATGTAAAATCTAATTGACGTGCTCACGGGAAATAAGCATCAACTTCGGGAGTGACATTCCTTCAAATAGCAAATATTTACACACAAATGCTGTGGAAACACATACAGAAGTAAGATACTCAAAGGCACAAAATTTTCCCAAGCTGTGGAAAAACCAGTTATCTTAATGAAGTTCAAAAGATGTTATTGTATTGTTCCATTTAAGTGTGTACGCCATCCATGCGTGTCAGGACACTGCCCCCATTAGGCCAAAATGTGCAGTGACAGCTGCTATCTTTGTTTTATTTTGATGTTCTCTTATTACTAATTTATTTAATTGTTGTTCTTTGAAGTGATGTTTAAAGTCAAGTCTTTAAGGATTCAAAGATTTTTTTTCCTCAAAATTCAAGGACAGAAAGAGCCAAGGATTTTTTTTAAATGACATTCCCACCGCACAGTTCCACGACATGGCAGAAAATACAATCGCAGAGGTCCTCCGTTAGCCCAGTAAGTATCAAGACTTATGAAAACAACACAGGATGAAATAAATATGATAAAGAGGTAGTAAGAGTATTCAAGGATTCAATGTGTATAAAGATACAGGCATCAAGAATGCAAAGGCAAGAGCCTTGAATTTCACTTATTTACGAGGTCACTTGACAAAAAAAAAAAAAAAAAAAAAGGAGTTTTCAAGATGAAATTTTAACGTGCAGGGATGAAAGGGCATGGCCACCTTTCCTTCCTCTGATGGATTGCATCATCTGGTCAATGAGGGCATTGGAAACAAAATCACCGCTGCGAAACGAATTCAGCTTCGCGTTTCCAAACGGACGTCACCGTGCGACGGCGAGTATTACTGACATAAGACTCTAGCTTGAGGACTTTACCTGTAAAATAGCGTAATAAAATGAAAAAGATAAATACTAATTGTTTTTGTGAAGGGTCACTTATGTTTTCCATTTATTTTGAAATTGCCCATTCACAAATACATTTCGAAACATGTTTATCATGTTATTTCTGTTTGTGTGGAAACACACCTTTCCTTTTGCTTGGAACAGGTATTTCTTGGCCTCATTTACTATCCACATGTGACAAAAAGTCTTGAGTGTGAAACTCGAGCGTCTTCACGTAGTCAATCAACTACGCTGGTGTCCTGTTGCTTTCAAAGTTGCTGTCGTAAATCATTGCGGGTTAGGGTTGGTCAGGAGTAACATATATACTAGAGGGGCCTTCAAGGTTGCATACAGGTACCTTTCCTAAGCCTTTGAACAATCTTATCCGACAAGTACTTCCAGGTCTTCTTGCTTGGATAGGATAGCAAAGGAAATTTCCTCGGCAAAAACGAGAATTTAAAGATGCTCCAGCTCAATGGACAAGTATACAGATAACCCGGCAACCACTGTTACTCTGCCGAACTCAGACAAAAGTCTCGACTGTCCATCCTAAAAATGAAGTCACTCCTTAAGGCATGGCTTTTTGGTATATGTTTAACCATTGTGGATTACAATGGTCACGAGCTATGGGTCGTGACCGAAAGAACAAGATCCCAGATACAATCGGCCTAAATGATTTTACTTTGCAGGGTGTCCGGGCTCTCCCTTAGAGATAGGCTGAGAAGCTCGGTCATCCGGGAGGATCTTGCTTGGATAGGATAGCAAAGGAAATTTCCTCAGCAAAAACGAGGATTTGAAGATGCTCCAGCTCAATGGACAAGTATACAGATAACCCGGCAACCACTGTTACTCTGCCGAACTCAGACAAAAGTCTCGACTGTCCATCCTAAAAATGAAGTCACTCCTTAAGGCATGGCTTTTTGGTATATGTTTAACCATTGTGGATTACAATGGTCACGAGCTATGGGTCGTGACCGAAAGAACAAGATCCCAGATACAATCGGCCTAAATGATTTTACTTTGCAGGGTGTCCGGGCTCTCCCTTAGAGATAGGCTGAGAAGCTCGGTCATCCGGGAGGGGCTCAGAGTCGAGCCGCTTCTCCTCCATATTGAGAGGAGCCAGATTAGGTGGCTCGGGCATCTGATTAGGATGCCTCCTGAACGCCTCCCTGGTGAGGTGTTCCGGGCATGTCCCACCGGCAGGAGACCCCGGGGATGACCCAGGACACGCTGGAGAGACTATGTCATCCAGCTAGCCTGGGAACGCCTCCGGATCCCTCGGAAAGAGCTGGAAGAAGTGGCTGGTGAGAGGGAAGTCTGGGCTTCCCTGCTAAAGCTGCTGCCCCCGCGATCGGCGGTAGAAGATGGATGGATGGATTACAACGCAATGTAATTGTACTTTGTGACCCGGACAGATTTTTTTTTTTTCGACAATCCAAAACACTTCCAACTCATTTTCCCTCCACATATCAAATATTTTATGGACGCACAGAAAGCCTGCTAAGCAATTTAGGTGTGCGTTAGACCAGCTTTTTTTTTCCTTTTGAAACAAAAATGAACATTGTCAGGTGGTTACATGCATTTTAAAACTGATTTAGTGTGGATGAAAATGTACCAAGTTTAATGACATAATCAGAGGACCAGGGCTAGAACCAATAATAAATAAAATTGACTTATGAAAAATACAATTACCTAGCATAGCCAATGATGAGGCTACCAAAAACCGTTCCAATTCCAGCTCCAGAACCAGCAACTCCCACTGTGGCAGCACCGGCACCAATGAACTTTGCAGCAGTGTCGATGTCCCGAGAGACCGCACTGGTCTGGAAAGCGCGGGTCAGGACTGCTGACTGACTTATCGGCAACAGGGCCTGAAAAGGACAAGTACCACACACCCCCAACACTTTTTTTGTTACCAACATAAAAGAGAAAGACTTTTTAAACTAAAATTAGGTCACTCACTGGGCTTCTGAGAAGTCAGAATATCAAGTATAACATGCAACCACAATGTAAATATGTTTGTTTTACTCAAAAGTCATGTGTGTCACTTTTTTTGGCAAAACAGTAAATGACAAAATTCATGAATAACATTTGTCACACCGGTTATCTATTCAGGGTCGTTTTGCTCAGTTTTAGCAAAAAATAAATAAATAAAATAAAATACACAATACACCTGGCTGGATGATCACCATTTAATCACAGATCGCAGAAACAACTATTTACACTTATTTAGTGAGGTGAAACTGAACATAAATGAGGCAAGTGAACCACCACACTTGTCTTTCCCAACCGTTATTAAGCCAAGGTACCATAGCTATTTTACAGGTATAGGTCATAGAACATAGAACCCCAACAAATGAATGTCACCAAAATTCTGAATATTGAAATGTTGATCCCATCTTCTCACAAGGGTCGCGGGGGCTGCTGGAGCCTATCCCAGCCGTCTTCGGGCAGTAGGCAGGGGACACCCTGAACCAGTTGCCAGACAATCGCAGGGCACACAGAAACGAACAACCATCCACGCTCACACTCACACCTAGGGACAATTTGGAGTGTTCAATCAGCCTGTCATGCACGTTTTTGGAATGTGGGAGGAAACCGGAGTACCCGGAAAAAACCCACACAGGCCCAGGGAGAACATGCAAGCTTCGCACAGGGAGGCTGGGATTGAATCCAGTACCTTTGCACTGTGAGATCGACGCACTAACCACTGGCCCACCACTGTTGATCCCATCTCTATTTATTTAAATGAAATTGCTTTCCATTTGGCCGCCCTGTTGATCTCATCTCTATTTATTTAAATGAAATTGCTTTCCATTTAATTGCACATGAAACTGCAAGAAAGCCTTTACTTAGTCAGGTGTATGATTGGCAATATGCGGAAATACTGTGCAGTTTTATTTTACCCTTTGTAATCTAATGGAAGTGCATTTAATTGTTCTGACAATTTCTGTATGGCGCTGGCAGAGAAAGATGAACATAGATATTTGTAATTCATCCTTTTCAGACTCAAGCAAAACGCAAAATCTCCCACGGCACACTAGTTTGCCTCGACAGGCTGTGTCGTGGGTTTGGGTTTGGACTTGGTGGAGAGGAAGCTCTCTCAGATGAGGGCCATCCTGTCTAATGAGAGCCACCCACCCAATGTACACCCATCTTCTCCCATCAGAGGAGCTACGTGAGCTCCAGGTTCCTCTCACTGGGGGGTCTCTACGTAGAGACTTTGGGTCTCGTTTGTCCCTTGGGCCATCAGGCTGTATAAGGCAGCAACTTCCGGAAGGAGCAGGAGAGCATGCGGTCCTAACATTGTTGAATAGAGCTCTGATTCTTGTTTTATGTAATACGTTTGCATTTTATTCTGTCAATAATGTGACACTTTTTGTTGATGTGTAAGCGACAGACCAATGTGTAATTTCCCTTGGGATTTCTAATCTATTTAAAGTTATTTGGGGGCAGTAGTGATCAGTATTACAGGCGTAAAGAGGTAGCATGAGATGATTTCCCAAACAAAATTCAGATGATCTCTAACAGTTGGCAACTCCGGAAAACAAAGGTAACCGAAGAGTAATTTTTTAAAAAAAACAAAAGTGACCAAGAATGGCAGGGAAAATAAGGGGTAGAGAAGAGGAGCAGAGCAACAACAAGTGTCCACCCTCTGTAAGAGGCGAACGGAAAGATTCATGATTTCGACATCATCACTTTGGTAGTACTTGCAAAAATGATCCTACAGGATTGTTGCATAGCCAGTTTTTGTGGACGTCCCTTGCACAAAGGCTTCTTCTCACTTGGGTGAGACCGTCACACAACTGGTGGTGAGGAATTTCTCTTCAAAATAGTGAGGATCATGTCAAATCGCGGCCGCCCTCCATTGCACATTTATCTCCACATTCGGTCTTTGTTTAATTCTTACTCTTGTTTACTTTTTAAACTTGCAAACGGAAGAAGAGCAGGAAAAGGTCAAGTGATTGGCTGCTGTCTTACACATCACTGCCAGCCTGAAAAAGGAAATGCTCAAAACTGGTTATATTATTCTGGTACATAAAAATCACCCAGTCCTCCAAAAATGCCCCTTTGGAAGGCTAATCAATGTGTAGTGGAGGCATAGGGTTGTGACAGATGTCGACATACTGTATGGACTCCCCTATTTGTCTACATGCATCTACGGACCAGTGTTTGGGGACCACGACTGTAAAGTGCCTGCCCACCCATCAAGACTAAATTTAAACAACCAAGTAAATCCTTAGGGCAGCCCTGTGCTCCAGTGGTTAGCGCGTCGACCTCACAGTGCAGAGGTCGTGGGTTCGATCCCGGCTGCGGCCTTCCTGTGTGGAGTTTGCATGTTCTCCCTGGGCCTGCGTGGGTTGTGTCCGCGTGCTCCGGTTTCCTCCCACATTCCAAAAACATGCATGGCAGGCTGAGACTGAACACTCTGAATTGTCCCTAGGTGTGAGCGTGGGTGGTTGTTCGTCTCTGTGTGCCCTGCGATTGGCTGGCAACCGGTTCAGGGTGTCCCTCGCCTACTGCCCGAAGACAGCTGGGATAGGCTCCAGCACCCCCCGCGACCCTTGTGAGGATAAAGCCGAACGGAAAACGGATGTATGAAAGTAAATCTTTATTCATCTGCCCGGTTCTTGATTCTAATAATGCACAGCTAATTTCTGTAGGAGTGTGTGTATATGTGTAATTCAGTGGCTCTGTAATTAAATCTTTCAATCCCTAGTGATAATGCAATTGAATAGCTATGTGCGGTCTTTTTTAGTCCGATAACAGCTTGAGCTTCTTTCAAAGATGTACTTGATTCCTCTGTAAAGTTGTTCGCAGGGGGGAGGGTGTTTGTCCATGAAACACAAAAAAAAAAAAAAACCTTTCCATTGCATTTAGCGCAGCTTCCTTGTTTTCTACACTCTGGGGTCTGCCTCCACTTCCAGAAGCAAGAATCCAGCCTCAGTGAACTCTCGCAACTCAGCGAGGCGTAAAAGGAGATTGTCATAATCCAGTCAATGGTTGTCATTTGAACAACAAGATGGATTCGCTGTTGCCCCAGCAATGTGTGGGATGGGAGGTGGTGCACAGCACAAGAGTTTCAGCCCTAAAACAAGACAATTAACCCACAACAAGAAATACTGTGGAAAAAAAATCTACACTTCTTGATCCTTGGGTCTTTAGGCAAAACAAGTCGGGGTGCTGACATACCATATAAAATTGATAAATTAAGATTGAGTAACTGTGTGTGCATGATTACTAGTTCTTACCTGCTGCTGCTCCACTGTAGCTTCGGGTCTGTTAAAAACGGAGACAGCGACTGGCCGGGCAAGGACTCTGGACCCCCCACGCAGCTACATCACATTTAACAGACAGGAGTCACACACTCAGAAATCATGCCTGTTTCATTCATATTTAAATGCAATAATCTTCCTTGATAAAGATATCAAATTATTTGAAATAATACCTAGCATTCTCCTTGATTTGGGAAAAAAAAGTAAGCCTTAAGTGACTAGACATCACATAGTTCAGTCACTTTAAAATGTCAATGTTATTACAGAATATATACAGCATATTTACAAAAAACTAATCCACAAATCCACAACCTGTCAGCAACCATGTGGGGACACTATTAAGTCAGATCCAAAAAGTTTGCAGTCTTCAAAATGTGCCAAAATAGAAATAGAAAATAGACAGCCTTAAAAAAAATTAATAAATAATAATAATAAATAAGCCAGTGCATTTTAAAAAATGTCACATTATGGCATTTCAAGGTGTTACAAACTTTTGTTTCAAGGTCAGTGTCATATTGACAAAAATAATCCTTCCTGGAGGAGTTGGAATAGCTTGAATTATGCTCAGCTTTCCATGTCCGGGGCTCTATGATGCGGCCAAACTTCATGCGTTTACTGAAAAAAATAATTATATGTTGTACAAGTGCAACCAGCTAATAAACTCATATTGAAACGAGGGAGAAAAAGATTGAGCGCACATGCACCACTGACTGGGTCCCATTCACTTAAATGAGAGCCAGAGCTGGAGCCTTGGCGGTCATCCACCTTGACGGCCGTGGCCCCCGCCTAAGGGTGATGGCTAACGGAGAGCAGTAACAAGCCATGCCTTTTTGTTTTTAACTGTACTTTTTACCTCGGTTGCTGTATACGACAATCAAGTGGATTTATTCAAAATTGGATACAGTGCAAATTGACGAGGTCTAGCGTCTTTCCACCACACTTGCAAATTGCAGATGGGGGAGAGCGAAAAGCATCTGTGGATTGTTGTCAGGTTTGGAGTGGCCGGAGGCAGCACAGTAAACATTGGGGGAAGGGAGGAGCTGCCGAGCTAATGGCTAATATGGACAGCCACTCAGACTTCCGCTACCAAGCCTCTCTACCTCCAACGCCAGATCCATAACACACAAGACGGGTAAAATGAAACTACAAGTAGGAGGGAAAACATTGTGCTCGGGACTGTTGCATTTCATCAATCATTGAGAACTACTCAGATTTCTGACACCTCAGTGCAACTGTATTTGAGGGCAACCAGCACAAAGCAAAATTTCATTGCCAGCATCTAAGTCATGGAGACTGTGTCGTGGACAAAGTTCCATATATTTACACCAGAGTCACGTCTGCATCAAGAATTACATACCAGTAACCCTTATGCTAAAAAAGTTGATTCTTGTTGCAAATATTGGTGTATCCACAAAAAATGAAGAGACTCACTCAGTGGGACTTGAACTGCATGTGACTCAGGCTTAAACATAGTCATTTTGAATACAGTCAGGCACAATAGCTTTTATTGTGTGTGTGCGTGTGCAGGGGTTAAATTTATTAAGTACTTTTTCTAAAATGTTAGAAACCTTTTATCTGCCTTCGTGTACCTACTTATGGGGGCTGCCATTTTCAGATCTTTTCATAATCGCAAGAATGTCAATTTAAAATAACGTGGCACAATTTCACCCATTCTTGTCTGCTTTAATGACCAAGAAAGCCAGTTAGTAAAATATTCAGAAATGAGAAGCTACAGAATTCATTTCATAACATTTACAAAAGATACAGAAACGATCATAAACATCATCTACGAGTACCAAATAAGTTGTGAACCAATCTGGATATGATTTTTTTTTTTTTTCCAACGGATATCATTCAAATCAAGTTGATGTAAGCTACAACACTTTACGCTGACAACCTCTGAATGGTTTTCGTCTTGGTCATGGTCTACACAGGGTTGAATAAGGAAATCAATCACTGTCTGTTATTAAACTTACTTCTTAAAACGTAACATTAAAATTATAGTGCTGTGTTGCTACATACAATGGATTCTTGCTTTAAAATTTGGGATGCTTAGTTCGCTTTTAAAGCTCCTGCATCTTATACTTGCATTTTTCGAGCGAACTTAACGTAAACATTCAGCAAAATGGTTCATGCAAACTTACCACAGCAGGAGAAGTGACAAACTTTGCACAGGAATACATGGCTAGAACCTAAGAAAATGAGACAATTTGCAATTTGAGTCAATGTTACACGCAGGGTCCCAGAATGGAACTTCAACATTGAGTTAAGTTTATAATCACATTTTTGAGCATGCTACATCAACATGAATTAGTTTGTGATTGCAGTTATGGGTTGGGTTTGCACGTTCGGGGACATTCTGATTAAACACCTGAAGGACATTTTCGGAGAAAACTAATGACGCTAATATTGCCAACTAAGCAGGACTGAAATACGTGTAGAATATTGTGCGTTACCGGACAGCTTATCCATGAGGTTAATCCAATTGTCAACAAACGACTGCTTGGATCAACTGGAGATCTTAAGTTCACCGATGAAGCGGGGTGAAAAGGCTACAGCTCCCCTTGCTCACAGGCGCCATTTCCTGAAGCCTGGAGGACACTTTAGCCCAAGCTGTCATCTGGCTTTTTGATTGGAAAACAAGCCGTAAAATATTTTTTACTGTAATCAAAACACTGACCTCATTATTGATCTACATCCCAACTGGTAGGTCCTGGCACATTAGTGTGACACACGGCCGGAGCTAGGCAGTCCCAATATCAAGTTGCTAAGCTAACCACCGTAGCTGAAGGTCAAAATGAATTACTAAGGACCAGACACAGCCGATAGACGGTTGAGAGCGCAAACCTATCAAACCTGTATTTTCCGCACAATACAGTGCGTGCAAGGCCGATGATGAATTAGTATTTTAACTTCGAACTGCAGGGTCCTTGCAGGAGGTGCCTGAATGAAACACGGAAGGCCCGAAGACGGAATCTGACATCTTACGGCTTACATCTATCTGGTCCATGAGTAGTCAAAGCGAATCAGCCGCGCAATGGCGTGTGACCGAAAATCTCGTGGAGAGACAAGAAAACAATTTTTGCATGGATGCACGAGAGGGAACTAATGGTAAAACTTTATACACAGTGACACAAAGAAGTGACATGCCAATCAGCTGACATCCATTGGCGGACATAGCTATGGTGCTCCACAGTTTAGTTCGAAGCCTTTCTTGACAGCTCACACAGAACAAATAATGTTATAGACAGATGCATTCAAAAGCTGACGATTCTCCGTGTATGAATGAAAGACCATATACAGCATATATTACCGGTTAGTTATGTTTTCGGGAGGGTCCGGAATTAGCTTCTCTGGCACCCAGCGGTAGTCAATGAACGTAGACCGCAAAAGACCGTCACCTTGTCATTTATAAGAAATGTGTGTACGTCCTAATCGCCCATTGGATAGAGAATCTCAGCAACTCAAGAAATATCTAACGTCATCGGGCAACTTCCGTTATTGTAGCCTATTGGAAAGGTGTGTGTTGCTTTAGTAAGTATTTAATTGGTTAAACTCTGTGTAGGTGGAACTACTGAACCGAGAGCACGAACAACGATTGGACAATTTTGCCGGGTGACGAGGGTGACCTTTCAAACACATCCGGTGTCCTATTCGGCTATTGGATAATCGATAGGAAGTCCCGACCTACAAAACAACGGTACCACAGATATCATAAGGGAATAGAGACCACAAGACCACCGATAGAAATAGAACTAGATATACCCAGGTGCCGTGGCGTAAACGCTCTTTCTCTCTTTCGCTCTCTTTCTCTCTCAATCAAATCCCGACTTTGACTTCGCCACTCCAAAATCTTAATTTTGATAGATAATATTTCAAAAACAAATTTGTAGAAAAGCTTTGAACAAAACTACTATTAAATTCACTTTAAAGACAAACAATATTGACAGAAATATTTTTTGCAAAATTACTTTAAGTTAAGTTAAAATATTTTTCACACAAACTGAATTCCAATGAAGTTGGGACATTCTGTTAAAACAAATAAAAATGGAATACAATGGTGTGCAAATCATGTTAAACCGACTGTATATTTAATTGAATACACTACAAAGACAAGATATTTAATGTTCAAACTGATCAACTTCACTGTTCTCAGTAGATAATCACTAACTTAGATTTTTATGGCTGCAACACGTTCCAAAGAAATCTGGGACAGGTGGCAAAGAAGTGAAACTTATTTGCTCCCATCCCTGATTCATTCTGTACCTCATAATTCTGCTCTCCTCATTGCTATAATTCATGCAGTAATTTACTGCACTTATTCTCATACATAATCAACCATCTTTACCTTACAAGACAAATTGATTGTAAAGAAATATTAACGTAACTGCTATTTGTAGTCTGCATCCCTGATTTATTTTTTCAAATGACATAATGGTACATACAAAAAAATGGCAACACAAAATGAATAACCCAATGTTAAGTGAGTAACCTATAATTAAATAACGAATCATCACATTGTGATCATCATACACCCATTCCTGTATGTAGAGAAAGTCAGATTTTATCCTTCATGAAGTTGCCGTCGACCGCTTCTCCTCTTCCCCCTCATGCAACAGACAAGCTGAGAGCAAAAAGCAGAGAGCAGGGTCACGTCACATGCAACATGATAAAATATCACGCAGCTCTCACACTCAGACATAATTCGGAACAGAACAAAATCTTTGCCAAAGCTCCCTTGGCCTCCAACAGAAAAAGATCTGACACTTAAGAATGCCATAAATGTGGTGCAGGACCAGCTGTTTAACTTTGTGGCATGCACATGTGGAATTTCAGTGGAACCCTCAGTGAGCATTTTCAGGTTACGTTGCACAACAGCAGAACAATTGTCTGTAACTGTCAGAACATCATTAATTAATTTGAGCAGTAAATCATGAGGGCTCCTGGCAAAACTGTGTTCTTTGACAATGGCAGTACAGCACGACTGTCGCCGCGCAACTTGGCCACTGCTTATCCACTTCTCAAATCCTTGAGCACGACACTGCTCTTGTTCATCAATGAAGTGAAAGAATCAGGTTTTAAAATGCATTAAAACAGGACACAACCACACCCTCTACAAATGTAGGCTACTTGCAGGTCATTGATGCCAGCCCAGAAGATATCAACACAGTTCAAACAATATTGAGTCACTCAATGGTTGCAGTAGACATCCATCCATCCATCTTTCCATCCATCTATTTTCTAATCCTTTTATGCTCACCAGGGGCCCCAGCAGATCGCAAAATGGATGGATGGATGGATGTTAAGAATTTTTAAAACATATTCTGTCACTTGAACTCATTTTTTAATAAGCATTTTCTGCACCAAAACATTTTTTGGTATTCGGACATCGTGCATGTATTTCTGTGTTTCTTCAGCAACTGAATATTTCGGGATTCTTTTTGGATGTGTGTATGTACGCGGACTTGTAGTTTGTGTTTTTCCAGTTCCTCAGCATGCACATAGGTAGTGGCTATGTAAATTTCACAAGCAATCTCATAATGGCTTTTTGTGGTGTACCAGCTTTTACAAGCCTTCGACAGTATAGGAAATAATCAGAATTCATGCTCACTCATATTGCCCCAGTCAGAAGGAACGAAGGACATGGTTGGATATGTTAGGGAGGGGCCAGCTGGTGAGCCTCAAGTGTGAGGTGCAGAGCACCCTGTCTGAGGAGGCTGCCCCCTCCCTAACAGGATATTTGTATTTTCTTTGCATCTCTCTACGAGGGAAAAGTATTAAGAATAAGAATAAGAAAACCTTTATTCGTCTCACAATGGAGAAATTCCCAATTTACAGCAGCAAAATTATGAAAGGAATTGAATTGATGGTCAGAGAATAAAAGTGACTACCTTAATGGTAGTTTTGTTCAAGTCACATTTTTCTTAGCTACTAGGTGAAAAAGTCCAATGAATATACTGATATAATCAACAATTGTGTTCAAATTGGATGAACAGTTCGAACAGGGTGGTTTCTATTGGCTGTCATTTTAATCAAACTGTACAACTGGAATATACCTTCGTCTGAATGTATTTTCTGAACCTAATCCAAGAGTTTATGTTTGAGAATTAAATGTGAAGCAGAGTTTTAAAATAATAATGAATAATAAATTTAAGTGTGTATTTGCCCATTATGACTGATGGCCAGGTAGCGCAAAACCTTTGGTAGAAAGTGGAAAAAAAAAAAAGTCACGAAAAGCTTAGTAGAACATCTGAACTTTATTTGGGGCTAATTGTCGCACTGTAAGGTGTGGCAGATGTTTACTGACTCTAATTTTACATGAGTTTGAATATTAACGTTTTTTATTAGAAGAGGTTGTGTGCACTAGTGCAACCCCCTTATCATATTTTTCTATTTTTAATTCCCCTCCTGAAATGTTTAAAAAAAAATCTCTCTGCGGTCAGGCAAACAGTTCACCTGCTTTGACTGCAAACTGTTCCAGGATTGCACAGAGAAAAGAATTTGAAATTGAGTCAGAAAGATAAGCTAATGTACAATTTGCATCAAGCACTGCAATTCCATCTCATTTCGAAAAAAATAATTCAAAACTCTTATTTTGTTATCTTTCAACCAAAACAATTATCCAGGACACTCGTGACTAGACCACCCCAGCAATCTAGACAACGTACTTTCATATAAATCTGAATTTATATTTTAAAAATAACTCCTCTGAACTATGACATTTCGACCATTACCTCAATTAAAAAAAAATCATTAAAAAGTCAGATTTCGTTATCCCACAATGAGGCCAGTTCAAGGGCCTAGTAGGCAACCCAAGGTAAGGTATTCAACGAAAGCACTTTCACTTAAATCTGATGTTAAATTTCAAAATGAAGCACCTTTGAACGCTACAATTCAGTCAAATACCCCAATTTTTTAAAAGGCCTCTGAATTTGACAATTTTGACCTTCACCCATGTTTAAAAAAAAATCATTAAAAATTCCAATTTCATTATACCGCAACCAGTCTACAGGACACTTGCCCACCACAGTACTCCAGCCAAAGTACTTTTACACAAATATGATGTTGCATTTCAAAACAAAAGGTTTCAGAAATTTGCAATTTTGGCCATTACTCCTGATTTTAAAAAAATATACTGAAAATTCAAATGTCGTTATCCTGTAACTAGACCAGTTCTAGGACACACTAGACAACCCTAGGTATACAGCCAAAATACTTTCATACCAATCTGATGTTGCATTTTAAAATATTTTTTTTCTGAAATCTGCAATTTCCACCGTTAAACCTAATTAAAAAAAATAATCCATAAAAATTCTAATTTCATTATCCCATAAATATAACA